CCCTCATTTCTTTATATTTTGCTAGGACAATGGGAGATCATGTTCAATGGGGGTCATGTTGAAGAATGAAGTTGTTTCCAATCAAATGCTTTTCAGAAAGTTTTACGAAGTGTATCAAAATTTGATGGCACTTTTCGGCATTCACAGTTTCATCAGTTAAGAAGACATTGTTAATACAACTGCTTGAAATGCACTCCTAAACCATTAAATAGCCTCCACCATGTTTTACTGATGGCTGTAGATACTCACTGTTGTGCATGTTTTCTGACCTCCGTCATACATACTGACAACAGTTTCAACCATGAATGTCAAATCTGGATTCCATCCATTTCCTTCTACCTATCTAGTTCAGAGTAGCAGCTGGGTGGGCGTCTATGCCAGCTTTCATGGGGCAGAGGAAGGATACACCCTGGACAGGTTTCCAATCTATCAAGAGAGAGATAAAATCCACATTTATTGTGGTCAGTGTGGAATCATCATTTAATCTAACAGCCAGGGGCAGGCCGGAGCACCTGGAGACGATACGTAGACTTCACAAAGAAAGGCTGGAGGATTCAAACCCAGGATATTCTTGCTCTGAGGTGAAAGTGCTAACTACAGCATTGTGCTACCAAAAATTTAGATTTGTTTCTCCATTAGACTTGTTCCACTGATTTTCAGTCCAGTTCTAGTGTCATTTGGCGTACCTCAGCCTTTTGCCCGTTTACTCTTTTTACAAATGGCTTCTTGATAACCAACCCTCCACTTGTTTGTGAATGTGTGATTGGTCCACTTGGAGTTTTTCTGTTTCATTTTTTTTATTTAAACGCAAACTGTTTGATATTTTGCAATGACCCTGATGAAGGCCACAAGCCGAAGCGCATTGGTCACCTAATAAAGTTGTTCCCTAATACTTCAAGTGTCGCTGGAGTCTTCACATTATCCAACCTTTCACTGAGACTGTTTCCAATCAGGCTTTGGTGAACAGCAGCTGGATCAACTAAGGGAAAAATACATCTCTCAGATCTTTTGCTTTTTCCTATTTCTTACAGACACAACTTTCAGATACTGTTCATTTACTGCAGCTAGTTTTTTAAGCCTGCAGTTTCTTCTTTTGTCCTCCTCTTGTCCAGTTTCCTGTTTTTTTTTTTGTTTGTTTTTTTGGGCAGAGACACCGTGCATCAATCAAAAATATGCCAGGTTTTCGGCTAATAGCTTGTTGGGAAATACCTTGTTGGTGCAAATTATACTATCAGACTGCATTATCACACAACCCTGGTTTACTGAAAAAGCGGCCAATGTCAAAAAACCCCAAACCAAATAAAAAAAACTCAAAAAGCCTGGAGAACTTTAGATGAAGATAGACGAAACAAGAAACAAGTGTTGCTCTCCAACATCCACTCTAAGAATTACATGGTTTGGCTATTTTTGCCACAAAAACAACAGCTTTAGTTTGAACCAGTTTAAGAGAATAATCACTCTTACCCAGAACTCTTTCCCGGCTTGTATTTTGATAGTTCCAGCCATGGAAAACATAAGTAGCATCTAAAACACATGAAGCTCAGGCTGCAGTAAAGCTCTGAACACACCCATGGAAGTCTTGTGTTGCTCACACAAATATCACCATAGAGATCTCAACACAAGCTGCAGCAACTCCTTTTTACCACAGGAGGGAGGCAAATCTCTGACAAATTGGGAACATGATTTATTAGGATATTAGCAGGAATAACTCGCACAGTAATAACAACATTTCAATGTATGTTCATCAGGGAGCTTTATTGTGGCAGTATTAACATATAAAACAAACCATGTTTTCTGTTATAACATACAAACATTCAAAATGTTCACTTCACAAAGTTCATAAGGCTTGGTTGTCCCAGTAGAGAGGGGGGGTCGTTACTCGAGGGATGGTTTTCCCCTTTTTTTCTGACTCTTCCTAAATCAAATCTCCCAGAGTTTAGTATTAAAAGTGACAAAATGACAAAAAAGAACCAACAAAATGACTTGACTAACTGATAAAACAACAAAACAATCAGATTTAACAATAACAATCAAAACAATACAGGGACCGTGCAAGAGATTATGCTACTACTGTACATGCCCACACAACACTGAAATAATATACAGTTTATTTTGCTCTACCATGTGATGTCCAGTAGTTTTGCATATAGTAGACCTGAGTTCAAATATTTAAAATCTTAAATAAATGAATTAAAACATGTATTAGTGTATTCGGTTGTGTATAGTAGTTTTAAACAATCTGATTTCCAAGTGTTAGTTAAGCGTTTTTGCTGTTAACTTTCCAGATATGTAGACAGGCAGTTAAATTTAAGGTTTATAAATACTTGACTCATGCCGGTATCTTCTGAATTTGCACTTAGACGTGACATCAAATTGTATGTGATTTTTTCTTTACTTTACTATTTTTTTCTTTATCACAGTTTTCTTTATAATTAGGCAACAAAAGTTGTTCTCCCAGTCCATCCTGTATGCTGTTTGTCAATAGCAGAAACCCAAGTTCTGTAGCTAAAAAAAGAGCTGAAAGTGGTTCAATTCCCCTTTTCTTAAAGGGTGTTAATGTATAAATGAGCTACAGACTAACATAGTGCTACAGTATCAAATAGACCCCAAAGGCCTTTCTGTTGTTTGCAATGAGTCAGTGGTTGATTCTAATTTTCTAGTTACAAACTAAAGATCTGAGCAAGTTGGAATTAATACTTTACAATTAGTGAGATTAAATTCATTTCTGTGAAGTGAAAGTGAATGAAATCTAGCCTTGCTAATGGCATCAGTGGCTAATATGCTAGCATGCTCTGTTAGCAATGAGGTCTGGCTTTAATGATGTACAAGCACATAGCAAAAGCACAATGTAGCTAACTAGAGGAGCTACTCTTCATCTGATGAGAATATTACTTAAGTTAACACAGTTAGCAACCACCTGTAGTCTATGTTGAGAAGTGAGTGACTAAAATTAAGTCCAAAGATCACTGCAAAGTGGTTTTTGGTTTCAAAAAGATCATCAGTTTCTCCTCTTGGTAAAAACACAGAGAACATGCATTTATCTATGATGGTTGAGACAGCCAAGCCTGTAATCTACAGTGGATTGCTTTACACAGACAAGACACACAGAAGAAAGAAAGAAAGGAAATCTTTTTCTTTTGCCACAGCTATAAACACAGTATTTACAGATGAAGGGCATGCAACTTGCACTGAGAGGTCAGCAAAAGGAACCAAAAAAGATAGATTCCCTGGTTTAACTGCAGGAAGGTGGAGCACAGAAATAAAGAACCAAGGCCTGCATCTTTAGAGCCGCGAAGAGTCTTTTAATCTGTGGTGAATCTCTTGAGCACTTTGATGCCTGTGCATACACGCTATGAAGACAGAGATGATGGTGATCATTTAGCAGTGCATACAGATCAGCTTTGTTCACTCAAGTGAAGGCATTTAAAAAAAAATAAAATCTCAGAATCTGCAGCGTTAGATGCAAACATCTTCATCAGAGTCATTTGGCCCTTTGCTCGGTTTCACCTTTGAAACTCAGTGCATGTGCTGTAGTAGGAAAATAAATGCTTTGTCCTCAAATAAACTTGTTCCTGTTGTTACTGCATATCTGCTATATATGCATAAAGCTTGTTAATGCATAAAGTCCACAGTTACACGACAACACAGCTGATAACATGAGGCAGAATAAATAGAAGAGAATGTGAGGGCTGTGCACTGCAGAAGCCTCTGTAGCAGCTCACTTACAAAGACTACAAGGAGTGGAAAAATCAACTTTAAGTGATGATTTTGTAATAGACCCTCGAGACTGGCTCGAAATTATACTGTGTAGCCATTCCCAGTTGTGATAGTAGTGCAATGAGCATTGAAGTTTATCTATGAAGGCCAAACTGCACGTACAGGCTCTCAGAGAAGGAGTTTTGTGTAGTATTTTAATGAAACTGACATGGATGCATACATTAGTTATGTGAAATTATGCTACAACAACACAGACAGTCAGCCAACATATTAATGTCTAACTTCACCTACAGTGCTTGGTTATTCTAAATAGCAAGACATATGAGATAAAGGTTATGGATAAATTACATGGTGTGTATATGCATGTTTTTTTTTATTAATGACTTTTTAATTTTTTAACATAAACTGCATAAATGCCCTTTCCTGAGAAGTTGATCCAAATCAAACTACATTTCGGACACAACTACATCTGTTTTCATTTGATCTGAAGCCATTTAGCATCACTTTCATTCAGAGTCACTATGTCGTAACAGACAGCCATCGTCACAGGTTCAACCAACAAGTTGATGGCTGTAAGGTCCAAAAAGTAAACTTTTACTTAGTGACACTTTTGAGATCATCTATACAGACAGCACACACACAGAAACCTTGGCTTGCTTTATATTTGACCTCACTTTTTATACTTTCATGGCAGACAAATGTGAATAATTTCTAAAAATCCTACACTCTGATCCAGATCAGTTTTCCTGTGTATACATATAGCAGGATGTCACTTCCAATGACTTGAGTTGATCCTAAATTTACACACCAATCAACAACAAGTTACAGTTGTGGTCAGATGTTTACATGCACTCGTCATGAAGGTCATGGCAACTTTGGGCTTTTAATGATTTCCTTGAACTGTTCTTTTCCCAGCATGGAATCAATGTACAGCAGACCGGCTGCACTATTTTGAATGTATTTTGGACTTTGCCTAATCGACACAGGGTGGACACAGGGTGTCGCTTGAATAAATAATAAATAAACTCTACCAGTTCTGCCAAGAATGGTCAGATGTCCAGCTAGAATTACAACAGACATGTTGATGGCTGCCAAAAGCATGAGGTCAAGGTGCAACAAGAGATTTTCAACAAAATATTAGTCAGAGTACATCTATATATTTAAGCCTGCATACTTTTGACTTATACTTAAACTATCCCTTTGTGAATTAGAGAAAATCCAAAATAAATTGAAACTCATGCACAAAGTTTGTGTTTTTATAATCATTAAAGATGTATGTTGTAAAATCATTCCACCCTGAAAAAACTGCTCAAAGAAATCATTAAAATCCACAGATTATCATGATATGATGATGAGTCTATGCAAACACTCACACCTGAAGTGAATAGGGACTGTTTCGCTATGAAACTGTAGGCCTTCGTGTTAATATACTTTGATATCTATCAAGTAAAGCAAATAAAGCAGTGCTGACCTGTCATCCAATATCCTTAGGTCCCAATCTGATCAAGCATTCCCAGGAAACAGAGGATCATTAATGCTCACTCTCAGAGGATTTTGCCAGTACCTGTGGGGCCTATACAGTGCTAGGAAAGAGGTTTTAGTTTATTTGGTGACTGGTCGGGGTAAATACTTAAGCCAAATCAGAAGTATATATCCATGAACAGAACCTTAAATCTCCTCAAACCAGAATACCATGATTCACTGTGTCTACAGTGCAACATGATACCTCTGTCTTTGGTCACATCCAAAGATAAATACTCAACATGATGCAACCACAGAAGCTTTTAGAAATGTACTCCAATGACTGTGTCTGTGACCAAACTGCTGATCTTATTCTGCAAGATTAATAACTGCAACTGCAACCGCGCCAATACATTACCTTCATGAGCGGTTTCAGGCCATTACACGCATCACTTGTCCCACAGTGTCGTTGGAGCACACTCTTTTGAGTCAGCCACACCAACCCATCTTTAGTTTCTCCTGAAACTTATGCACAGCTCCCTGTGAAGTAGCACACTGCTGACTAATCAAAAACGAACCTCAATTCCACGATCATTTTCCCTCATAAACTTCCATGTAACCTTTTCTTCCTTTTTTCATACATTTACCGCAGACTCTGTCCACACTGTTTGAAGATGCATGAGCGACCGTAAACTAATGAGCTAACATTTAGTTCAGATGACATTTACACTTTCATCGAAACACATTTTATCAAAGAAAAAAAGCTGAGAGTTTTTCTCCGGCCTTCCTCATCTTTCCAAAATGACATCACGTAATCTGAAACAGTTGTAATCAGTGATCTGTGTAAAAGATTTGTGCTATAGCCTCTGTAGGAAAAAGCCAGGGTGCTACCAAGCCAACAACTGTTGGTGGTAGTCCTAAAAAATAGTTTCTCAACACTCACACCCTGATAAATCTCAGCAAATTCGCTTTTTTTTGTAATCTTTTGTAAACTATTAATTTGAAAATAAGCTCAAAGTAGATCCTCTGACTGAAAAATTCCTGAAAGATCTGATCACATAAAAATGTACAAAATGTTAAAAACAAGTTTTTTTAATTGGCATTATTATCAATATCTCTTGTTTTTTTTGTTTTTTAAATATATATGTATATATTTATATAATGTACCTCTGACTGTGGATGTTGTTGTTCAGTGACTAATCAATCATAGCTTTCTGCGTCCACCCACTCCGTCATGACTGACAGGCTCTGTTACCAATCAGGTGCTCCAAGGACAGGAACCAATCAGAAAGGTTTGTGGAGAGTCTCCGCATCAACTTATCAGCATCAGGAGTGAACAGCCATTCAAATTTCTTCTTTTTGGGACTTCTTCTATGTCCATTACATCCCTTTCCACAAGTTCCTCCTTGAGCATTACTGTCCTCTATCTTTTCACTTCATCACTATCTGAAGTGTTTATCTTAACAAGTGACTAAATGCTACTATTAAAATCGTATTTCTCTCTTCCAATCAGCAAAATTACGCAGCCAAAGAGGTGAAACAAATGCTCTTGTCCCAGTGTTTTTGCCTCATTTTAGGGATCCTGACAGAAGTGTAATTGATTTTTTGAATGAAACATCCAACAAGAATTTTGTGAGCCAATGTAGTGTTGCATAAACTACAGTCTCATTTCATCTCTTTGGCAGACTGGTGTTTTGGCTGAATACTAGATTAAATATAAGATTAAATCACATGTTAAGACATACACTTGGACGTATTTGTTTTCCTCACAGTGCCTCTTCTCTCTGCTCTTTTTCTGAATGTCTTTTCCCTTCTCAGTCTGACCACAGGTTCTCCATGGCCATGGTGATCTTACACAGGATCCAGCGTCGGAGCGGGCAGTAATACTCGTAGTGAAACTGCTCAAACTCCGGTGTCTGCCGGATCTCATGGAGGAAGGACACGTCAATATCTGACTCCAGCAGCAGCAGCAGTGTGGGCACGGTGACGAGCAGGACCCCCATTACCACAGCGACAAAGCGGGCCACACTCAACACGCAAGCATTGACTCTGTCATTGGATGACAGCAGGCGCAGACTGCTGGTCAGGACTCCGCTCATTCGACTTCTCGCAGCCAGGCGGGTGCGCTCATAGGCCCTGTCTCGCTCCCTCTCGGCCTCCAGCTGGGCCTGGATGTCAGGATCAGCATGGAGCTCCCTAAGCAACCTGGCGGGGCTTTGAACTGGAGAGGAGAAGAGCAAGTCGACTCCTCCCTGGCTGTCGTCCACTGGGGTGGGAAGCATGCTGGCACAGGGACTGGAGAAGAGAGAGAATAAGCAAACCTGAGCCTATAAACATGTGCGCCACAAAAATTACGATTTAAGTTTTATCAGGTAACCATGTGAGAAGAGCTGCACCAGGACCTAATGAATGTTCACCTGTTCACCCAATGAATGCTACTAATGTTCAGATTCAGTGTCTGCTGAATGTCCTGAATATCACTTATGCCTGAGAGAAACCTTTTGCTCCTAAAATGTTAAAAACTCTAACATTTGTGCTTTGCTAGAGAAAATGAGTTGAAGTTGAAGTTTTATTTCCAAAAACCGGCAACTGCATCCATCAAAAACACAACCATCTTTACTGTTTACACCGAACACATGAGCTAGAAAATGATCATTAAGCCGAAAGCAGCTGTTGAGGCTTTTATAATAAAAAAAAAGCTGCTTTTGACAGTTTATTATAAAGATTTATTGACCTGTAAGTAAGCTCAGAAATGATCAGTGTGCCGCTGGCCTCATCGTCTTCCTCCAATTCATGTTCAGCTTTGGGCGTCTGAGGTCGGAGATTTGAGGTTTCCATGGAAACACGAGGCTGCAAGTCATTGCCCGAAGCAGAGTTTCCTGCTTCAGTACTTTGCTGCTCTGCATCTGCAGACCCAGCTGAAGATTTGAGAGGAGACAAGGGGACCGAGTCCTTCACAGCAGCAACACCTGGTGAGGGGGAAACAGAAGTCAGAATATCTTTGTTTTTAATAAACATTCATAATTATTTCACCTTTTATTTACAGAACAGATGATGAGCAGACTTCGATACTTTTTTAAAAAGTGCATTTTCAGCGTTGTGTCTTGCACAGTTCACAGCGGAGCTACAAAAAGCACATTTAGAGTTTGTAACTAAAAGACAGAAGATTATTTTGCTCTCCAATGTGATCTCTCTTTAATGTAAATATGAACAATTTCACACTTTGCAAAGCTTGATGTTTTAAAAGCAGATTATTTGAATAAAGAATATAATAGTTTTAGTCTAAACATATATCGAGAGCTCTGCCTTTATCACCACTTGCTTGACTTTTTCTTAGTATTAGCACACTGTGCAGGATGTAATCGGCCTGCAAAAATCAATATTACTTTGTATGCAGCTGGGAATGGAGACCTCTCAGCTTTGCCTTTTTTGTGTGTGTTGCTGTTGACTACATTGACCACAAGATGGCGTTATTCGCTCACATAAGGATAAAGCTTCGGACTTGGAAAAACAGCAACCGAGTAATAAATAAATACCCAACTGTGGCATCAACACACAATTTGGTGAAACCATAATAATGCTACGCTGCAAGTGCATAGCATAGATATAAGTCACTGCGTTTGGAGCAGTGATGTGAGCAGCTGACAACACCTCTGTGAGTGTGAGCAACAGTTCATGCAGCGATGAAGACCTCCTGATTCTGTTGGTGTGTACAAATTTCAGCTAGCAAAATAATACTGTGGTGTGCAGTTACACATTACTCTTTGAGATTGATGAGGTGCGAGAGATTAATACCTAAATACACACACATTTGTTGATGAATGGAAATATATAATGTGTGTGTGTGTGTGTG